CAGTTCCCACAGACTACTGCGGCCCCAAACAAAGACCGATAAAGACCAAACTTGGCACACAGAGCCCTCATGACCCACTCTACATCCTGGTGCAGTTTGGAGGAGAATGGACCGTGGATGATGGGACTTGAAGTACCTTCACTCACTTCCCGACACTGCTGCGACCCTCTTCCAATGACTGATTAGGACCAAACTTGGCACACAGAGCCCCCATGACCTGGTGCTGTTTGGAGGACCATGGGACTCGCCTTACCTTCACTAACTTCCTGAGAGCACTGCGAGCCACATAAATGATAAAGACCAACCTTGATACACAATGCCTTTCTCAAATTACAGTTAATAATAATATATTATAATTATATATTTTGTATTACATGTAATATTACTAATAACATTACAATATAATTGTATAGTACAATGTAGTGATGTATAGTGCTGATATTGTACTGTACTCATGATATAATGTAGGGTGTGTGTGTCTGGGTGTGTGTATACACACACACGCATATATATATATATATACACACACACACACACACCTTGTAAGCCGCTCTGAGTCCCCTTTGAGGTGAGTAGGGCGGCATATAAATGTTGCAAATAAATAAATAAGGAATCCGACTGGAGCATTGCAGCACACCCAAATACCTGGGCGTCGCTCTGGACGTGCCCTGACTTACAAGAAGCACTGCTTGACTATCAAGCAAACAGTGGCAGGAAAGGACCAAGGCATTGGCATCTTCAGCCCATCCTCTGTTCGATATCACCCAGCATGCAAATAATCAAGGACCTGCTTCCTAAGACCCACAGAGACATTTGCAGGAACATCTCAGCAACTGGGAGTCCAAACGCGACAGGCTAAAACCCAGCACCTCGATACGTGACTGAGACAAGATGAGAAACTCCCTCCTGGGCATGCAGAAGAACGGGCGACCTGGAAGGCGCTGGAAAGGCTGTGCTCTGCACCACAAGATGCAGAGCTAACCAGAGGCCCTCCAAGTGGCCAGCTTCTGGTCAAAGGACATTTAGCACAATGCCCAGATCTTTATTTAACTGATTTCAACTGTACCCTCAATTTGCTTCTGACACAGTAAATAAATAACTTTTTTTCTTTTTACAAAACTTGAAGAACACCTGCTATGCCACAGATTCCAAAATGTCTATAAACAGATCTACTACATGACTCATAGGTTGGCATGTCAGAATTTGGATGGGTGAACCATGAAGCAAAGAAAGGTCTAGAACCAACTTCGAAACCCTGTATTCAGAACCACTCTTAATGGTCCAGACTGGAACTACCAAGCTCTTGTGTTGATTAACCTGTGGAGAGTTTTCGTGGAAACTAATGGAGAGAGGCTGGTTTCCCCTTCCAAACTAGGTTATATGAACAAATCCAAACGGATTCTCCCCTACGAACCATCAAGGTTGGTAAGATCTTCTGGAGGGGCCCTGCTCTCGGTCCCACCACCTTCGCAATCGCTATTGGTGGGAATGAGGGACAGGGCCTTCTCGGTGGTGGCACCTCGGCTCTGGAACTCTCTCCCATTGGAGATTAGATCTGCCCCTTCCCTCCTGACTTTCAGAAAGCTGGTAAAATCTTGGCTTTGGAAGATAGCATTTGCAGAATGATGACTGAGTTAATAACTGCTGACCACACTAAAGGCAGATGGTGATGAATTTGTGATTTTACTCTTGACAACCTGGCTTTTGTAATT